GTGTTTTCGATGCTGATTCAAACGCCGTTAGAAGTCACAGAAAGGAGAAAATAAAACTGAAGCCACCCGAACGCTCTTACCTTCACAATACGACCCGATGAACATCCGCGCCAGAATAAGGGAGGCCAGCGCGAAGGAGGCAGTCAAAGCAAAGCCACCACGTGTCATGACTGTGCGTTTAGCCGGAACGATCGCGGACGACTATCTGTTGTTGCCGTTGCTGCTGCACGGCGATGATGGTACGACTGCTGCTGCCTTCTGGTAGCTTTTTGGCGACCTTCTGCTGGTCACAGCTTGAGGAAGCGAGTCGCGTCGATCGTCACACTACGTCGAAGGGTGGCAGCAGAACCGGCAACGTACGGCAGCTCCACCAACGGACAATTGCGCAAAGTATCATACAGCTAAAAGAAACGAAACGCTTGAGAGCGAACGAACCAGACGCGACGGACGGACGGACGGACGGACGATAAATCGGTGACGACCAATTGAACGTGACACGTGGCAAATTATACGCGGTGGTCATTACGGCCGACTGGCGACTCAACGGTCCGGCAAATGCTAAGCAACCGACGTTTCTTAAGAGCAGACGGTGAAGTGGTCACAACCGAACAGAAACAACTATTAAAGACACAGAAGTCTACGCGAGAGCTGAAGTTTTCAGCGGACATGTAATAACGTTGTCATCGAACCTGTCATCGATTCGTTCGGTTTCAACAGTAGACCAGGCATCGCCTGTCTTCGCGATTGTCAGCCATTAACTTTGAATGTTAGTAGAGCATTTTCTAGTGGACTTGCGAACAATGCATCTCTTAACCTACGGATTCTAAACTGCAGACAATCCACCGTACCATCGAAAGATAGAATAGGAAGAAAAAAGCCAATCATCGCTAGACGAGAGACATATTAGACTGCGTTTCACGCTACCGCAAACGGACCGTAAGAAAACCTCACGATCGATGGCAGGATCAACTAAGGATTCGCTGGATCGAGGCCGATACAAATCGCAAACAGCCGAAGTTTATGGCAGAGTTTTAGAGAAGTCTCCATCCGGCTGTGGGTCGGAAAAGTTTGATGAAGAAAATGAATCTTTAAATCCAGCTTATAAGCATAACTTAGAGGCTTCGAATTCTACGTTCCATTTCATACATACGATGAAAGAATAGAGATGGCAATCTTAAGTGCTAGCGGTACGGATAACCATTTGGATCTTTCAGCTGAGAAAGACATAATTCACAAAAATGCATGGCTGTTCACAGAACACTTCACCTGAACGCTCTACTTCGACCAAAGTTGACTACAACCCCTGACAACAGTTTGTAGTCGGAACATATACAACACACCTATACCCAGACAGATTCCTCTTATAGAATCTTGGAAGAAAATGCCATCTTCCTGGCACCAACCATTACCTCATTAACAGCAATAATAAACAAGAACACTCATCTGAAGTGTACTCTCCGGGAGTACTTTGGCCATTGTCAATCTACGAAAACGAGCACGAAAAGTCTGTACTG